ATATATATATATATATATATATATATATATATATATATAAATTTTTGCTATATTTATGGGCAAGTGGGTGCAACATTAGGGAGAGGGAGTGCATGGATATAAACAGTGTAAATATCGAAATAGATACTGTCCAATGAATGGTAATTTAATGCCTTACGGGTGATATTGCTATTCAGCACACAGTGTTGATTTCTATGTACAAGATAGATAGATAGATAGATAGATAGAGATAGATAGATAGATAGATAGATAGATAGATAGATAGATGCTGTACTACGTCTAAGTTATTACGCAACTGAATGCTTTCACAAAAAAAACTGGGTGATATTAACTAATAGAAAAGCTCGGTATATATATATATATATATATATATATATATCATGATACCCCAGAGAGACAGATATATATATATATATATATATATATATATATATATATAGATAGATAGATAGATAGATAGATAGATAGACTGACTTAAGTCAACCCCCAGGGGTGAAAGTCTATTTCATGCCTGAAATCAATACTGCGTTCAAGCATGAACAGACTATCCCACTCCGGGTTTACCTCAGTGTCCACTTTTATATTTACATACGCCCTATCCCTGATGTTGAACATATTTACTCATATATATAGCATGATTTAAAATTTTATATATATATATATATATATATATATATATATATATATATATATATATATATATATATATTCGTAGTTTATTTTTGAGTCGCTATTATTTTTCACAAAAGAGGTAGAAATCTAATAGGTCGATAGTTCGAAGGATCAGACTATTTATAAACCACGTGTAGAAAAGACACTTGATGACTTCTAACAAAATGTTGATCCCGTGATATTGGACAGAACATATGCTAGTAAAGCGGGATTAACTATTTTGAGTTGAGTTTTAATTTTTAAATAGAAATTTTCAAAATACCGAAAGTCTAAAATGCAGAAGTGAGACAATCGATTTAAATAAATGGAGTGTCATCTCAAAAGAAACCAGGCCAATTACCGAAAAATAAAATCTGGTTTTATTAGTATAAATCAGCTCAAAAAAGAACATACGGTAAACAGTTAGTTGATCTGATAGCAATATTTCTCCGCTTTCTGATAGGTAAGTGATGAAACTAATTTTTTGTAAACTGTAATACTATTTTCAAAGAGAATGACTGTATATTGTTGTCTGATACAAACTGATGACTATTTAGTATATTACGAATCATTTTTCATAACAGTTTCACTGAAAGCCTATCTTAATGGGATTCTTGCATGAAGGATTTCAATAAAAGTCTCTATATATTACTTTTCTCATTGAAAGAAATCTCCTATAATCGATAAGAATCCAAATTAAGGTATTTACGCTTTCCTTCCATCTCTCTCTCTCTCTCTCTAAAAAACTTCTCTTTATATACTCCTCTTAATATACGAGAAGGCAACCCTCAAAGAAAAGAGTGGCCCGGACAAAAAACACCGGAAGTTTACAAGAGCAGAGCTTACTTCTTTGTGACGGAAAATACCAAAAAATCATGGAGGCTGCATGCATAACTTCCGTTATAAAAAAAAAAGAAAGGAACGTCGGAAAATAAATTGATTTGGTCAATCAATAAATTGACACAGACTTTTTGATATTCGAGCCAAATTCTCGAGCCTAGTTAAAAGAAGAAAAAAAAACTATATAAACCACAGAGGTGTTGACGACGAAACCAAGAAAGAACGAAAATCATGCACCCATGCGTGACATGTGAAGAAGCATTTAAGAGGTTATCAGCTACTGATATTTCTGTCCTGTTTTCTGAGCTGAAAAGAACATAGTAGATTGAGAAAGAACTAATTTCTCACGCTACTACTACTACTAAACCTATTATGATCTTATTTCTAAACTGCTACACACGGACATTTCTCCAGACTGCTATTAATATCCGTCTTATTAACGAACTTTTTGCTACACCAAATATCAAAGGACTCACTCTAAAGAAAATAAATAAAATATCTTCTACAGCAAATAAATAAAATATATTATTTATTTTAAAACCTTGAGTCAGTTTGTTTTATGGCCTATGTTTCTGATAAATATCATCAAGAATATCTACAACACATATGTCACACTGACAATATTCATGAAGTGAATCCATAGGCCACAAAGTCAATATTATCCTCTTCATTATCATCAGTTACTTCGATAAGAAAGCTGCTTTGGATTGTTATTAATAGCCCTGATATTCATTTAAGTTCCAACTTAACGATAGAAATATAAGAAAATGAATTAATTTTATATTAAGAATTTTGTTACACAAATTATAAAGGTTTGTGTAAATACCAGTGATCCTTTTGTCGTAGCGCAAAAAAACGGATAATTCTCTGTTCTATAGCCGAGAACCTTCGCTTAGTTCAAACTTTGCATGAAGAAAGAGAGAAAGCGGTCAAACAATAGATAAGGTCTCCTTATCTCAAATCGTTTATGTCACGATTTCCTTATTTCAAATTGTCTAACCACAAAAAAGCGGGGAAGAAGGACCCGAGTGGGAAAATTGCGAAACAAAGAAAGGAGTTCTAAATGCAATATCGGTCCTCTTATATCTCAGTAAATGCTGGACGATCTCCTCACAGATGAAGGAGAGACTTGAAGCCACAGAAGTGTGGTTCTACAGAAGGATGCTGAGGTTACCATGGTTTGAACATGGGAGCAAAGACGAAGTTATAGAGAAAATGAAAACAAAAAGGACACTTATACTTAACATCCGAAAGTGACAGAAATTTCTAGGGAACATAATAAGGAAAGAGGGCTTAGAAAATTTGATACTCAAAGGACATATTGAAGGACAGCAGCAAACAGTGCAAAACCTACCTAACGAGTATGGGTAAATGGTTGGCAAGACGGGATTTAGGAAAGAGCAAAAAGACAAAATTTACTAAGAACTTCAAAATACAGAAATTATAGAAAGCTATGATCATCAACGTCCTGAAGGGACACGACACATAGAAGAAGATGCGTTCCCTTTCAAAATACAGTTTTTGCCTGAAAGGTGCATATTAACTCTTTGTCAAGTTAATATGCGCCTTTCACCTTCTTTAGCGAAGCCCGTCTCTCTAGACAATACCTCCCTCTCGAGAGAGAGGATTAGGTTCATTATCTGCGACGTCCCCGAAAAGTGAAGTGTCGAGTTGACTGGGCTATTTTTTAATTCTGGTTTCACGTGGGACTCCAATGACGGATATTCACTTTAAGCTCGACCCGGTGCTTATTTCCGTTCGAGTGGGGACACGGATAAATATCATCTGTGTGGCATTGTATTTAGCTGGTTACATGAATCGCAACATGTCTCTTGGTCACGTGTCTTCTTTCCACGAAAATAAAAAACAGTCAAAAGTCTAATCATGGAACATGTAACTTCAATAAATTTAAGGTATACTTGTTGCTCGGATTTTTCGTTCGGAATGTTGATAAGATACTGATATTTATTGTATTAAAAATACAATTATGGCACAAGGTCGAAAAGGGGGAAAGGGGTTGAGGCTTGTCATCACTGACTATCTTATACCTAGCTAATCCGATTCACGACCCATTCACTCGTTACAATTCGCCCATTCACCACAAAAACTCGTCCGTCACCAATCAATCCTCCATACACCATAATACCGAATCCTCTCAGGGTGTTGTGGAGTTATTGCGCAGTGGAGGCTTGTAATTGTACTAAATCGGCCCTAAATAGTTCGACGTAAAAAATGTTAGGAACTTGATATAATAGGTATTACGCAGAGTCATCTTGTTGTGGTCGCTGATTACTTTCGTATTCGACTAACTGTCGACTATTGTCGTCCGACATCGACTAGTATTTAGTCACCCCACGAGGGTATCATGTGGCACAAGGCCGGTTTAACGTGGGATCTCAGTGGGGATCCCGAGCCTGGGATCTCAGGCCCGTGGGCTCGGCCAACTCTTTCTTTTGAACCCGTATAAACGGGTTCAGGGTCGGTTTACTTTCCTGAACGAGACTCCGCCCTTCGGAGTAGCCTCGTTCGGGTTCCTCCCCGCCCGAAGGCAGAGAGTTCAACCGTTCAGCCGGTCATCCGACATCGACTGACCCTCTTTTCTCTTACTACTCTTACTTATATTAGGTGGGAGAGTCTATTAACTATAGAATAGGCGTGTTTCACCATAACACAGGGGAGCCTACAAAACGCACCTCGCGAATTAAAAATTTAATGATAATAAATATTTCGTAGGTAAAAATCTAATATTTGACATTGAGAGGGGAAATGAGACCCAAAACAAGTTAAATATCAATGTTGGTAAGATATGAAAATTCCGTTAATTTTTTCTTCTCTCAAATATTTTTTGTTTCTGTTGTGACGTCTCCCTCTAATCAGGCTATTGTGGACTCCTCCACTTACTATAAAGTTAGTAGGAAAAGTAGGCCTCGAGAGAAATCGCTCCCAAGTCGTGTCACACTATTCTGTTGCATTTACTGTTCAATACGCGATTTATCTGAAACCTGTTGTTTTATTTCTTAACCATTTACTTGGTCACAACAGTCGCATTTCCTATTACTCTTGAGCTTTGAAATTTTTTTAAAAATTGAAAAAAAATCTCGGTGACTTACAAATGATGACCAATTTCAAAATGGTGGATACTTGACTGTTGTGATTATCCGTTTCTAGGATAATGTGTTTTATTTTTTTATTCCCTTTTTCATTTTTTTTTTTTTTTTTTTGTTATTCGTCTCATCCACGCTTATTGTTGTATTCTCTTGTTTATGGCGTGAAATTTATGTTTGTAGACGCATAATGATGTATTTTCGTTTGCCGTCGCGAAGACGACAACGTTTGCTCTTTGCTCTTTGATCTTTGGTCTTTTGTTTAGACGTCGTTTGACTTAACCGCGAAATGTCATAAAGTACTGGTCTTGTTTTATATTCTTGTAACAAGTAAAAGATTTGTAACCTAGAATATATTTCATTTGGAATTATACATACTTTTTCGTATATAAAGATAGAATTGTTATGCAGCAGCCAGTTGATCTATTTCTCTGCTTATCATTTCTTACTTTCTCTCTCGTTGTCTATCTGTCGAAATTGGTTGATCTACTTGTTGACCGATCATTTATCTCTCTCTCTCTCTCTCTCTCTCTCTCTCTCTCTTCTCAGCCGCTGTCTATTTGGTTGATCCATTTATCTACCATTTTTTTTTTCTACATCACACTTTCTCTTTTTTCACCATCTCTCTCTCTCTCTCTCTCTCTCTCTCGATGTCTATCAATTCGGTTAATCTATTTTATCTACCTATCATTTCTCACGCTACTGCCCTCTCACGGAGTCTATCTATTAGGTTGTTCTATTTGTTCACTTCTCATTTCTTTCTCACTCACTCTCTCTCTCTCTCTCTCTCTCTCTCCTCTTTCTTCACCTTCTTTATCCTGCAACTCACTCTCTTTTCTATCTCTCTCTGCAACCTTCATCTCTCTCTCTCTCTCTCGTTGTCCATCTGTTTATTAGTTCAATATGTCTACCTATCATCTCTCTCTCTCTCTCTCTGTTTATCTGTTTGTTTGTTTGATCCCTTTTTCTATCATTTCTCTGTCTCCCCTCTATCTCCTCTCTCTCATTATATATTATATATATATATATATATATATATATATATCTAACCATCTATATATTAGGTTAGAGGAAAACAGGTAATTTCGCCATCTCCTTCTCTCTCTCTCTCTCTCTCTCTCGATATCTACCTATACGTTGATCTATTTATCTGCTTATCATTCTCTCTCTCTCTATATATATATATATCTTTATCTATGTATTAGATTGATATATCTCTCTCTTCTGTTCTCTATCGCCTCTCTCTCTCTCTCTCTCTCTCTCTTCCCCACGCTTTATAACTATTAGATTGGTCTCTTTGTCGGCTTCTCTCTGTTCTCTTTCTACACACACTCTCTCTCTCTCTCTCACTCCCTACTCTCTTTTTCTCCCTCTACTCTCTACTCTCTCTCTCTCTCTCTCTCTCTCTGTCTAGTAGTCTGATATATTTGTCTGTCTGTCTGTCTGTCTGTCTCTCTCTCTTGATTTCTCTGTATCTATCTATCTGCCTACCTACCTACTTATTAAAATTTTGTTTTTCAGAACGTATTGGAGATTTTGCATCAAATTAATATTTGTGTACTATTTCTGTCCCATAATAGTTGTTATATTTGCATGCACATTTGCATACAATAAATGTGACAACTATCATGGGACAGGTTGTAATAATTAGGATATTTTTCAAACGAATACTAACTTTGTCCTATAATAGTTGTTGCACTTAATCCATGAAATGTGTAAGTAAATGTAACAACTATTATGGGACAGATGTCATAAAGATTAGATTTGATACATTTAGTGTATGAAATATGTAAAGCAAATCTAACAACTATTATAGAACAGAAATAATAATAATAATAATGTGTCCCATAATAGTTGTTACATTTAAATGTACATTTACATACAATAAATGTAACAGCTATTATGGGACAGATGTCGTATTATGATTACAGATTTTTCAAAAACCGTACTACTTCTGTCACATAATAGCTGTTACATTTTAGTGTATGCAAAGGTGTATGCAAATGTAACAATGATTATAGGAAATAAGTACAGATACCCCATCATCTTGATTTTATAACATTGTAGTATTATCCAGGAGGAGGCACTGTGGTGTAATGTATAACGGCTCAGATTGAACCGTGTTCGAATTCCAATCGAATCCATTACATTCACTTACGTGCTAATAGGTATGAAGGAAAGGTATGGATCCTCTTCTTCTCCCCCCCCCCCAGCTATGGGTTCTATAGCCTTGGATGGCAACTGGTCCACCGCAGAAAGAAATGCGAGAAAAAATCTGCTATCGAAAGATACATGATCGCCTTAGCGTGTATCACGCATGGCACATAACTAAGTATTATCCGCTTTGCAAAGTCAATGATTTACCTCTGACCTAATAACAATGCATCTCTCGTATCTCAACAACAGTATAATAGAAAATTATATTCATCTTTTATTAAATATATATTGTATTTTTATTAAATGATTAATTCGTCCGGTAATCTCGTGAAATTCAAATGTTTAATTTTGTTAATTTGTTCGGATTAAAAAAGGTGTTAGATTATTGGTTGCCGGAAAATAGGTTTTACATATATAAATTTCCGAAAAATCTTATAAATATAATTATTAGCTCTGTTTCATAATAGTGGTAACCTCTAGTATATGCAAACGTGTACGAAAATGTAACAACTATAAGAGGACAGACGTAGTATGCTTTTAAGAAAAAAAAATATTTTAAAAATTAAAAAAAATTATTACTACATCTGTCCCATAATTACTGCTACATCTGTTGTATGCAGTTGTGTATACAAACATAACAACTATTATGGGACAAAGGAAGTATTATATATTTACGTAGGTGTTTCTATCTCCTGAGTTTTCTAGAACTAGAAACATTCTGCCATCTATCACTCACAGAGGTAGTTGAAGTCTATCATTGAATTCAATATTAATTTGTACCCATTCCATCAGTATGAGGAGGTGCTGAAAAGTTCCGTCCTGACAAAGAAGTTCTTCAAAAAATATTGAGATGTTGTGAGTTTCCCGCGTGTCGGTGTATGAATCAAGACAAACACAGTTGTAGAGGAAAATACTGGTATATTTGTAAAAGCAATTAACAATAGAGTGATTAGTAGAACGAAGGTTGGTTAGTACGAAACAATATCCAAAGTCTATAGTCCAACGGTATGTACCGGGTAAGCTTATCTGGACTGCTAAGATATTCAGCCACCCCCCCTCCACGAGGGTGTCATGTGGCACAAGGCCTTTTTAACGTGGGCATTCCCGAGCCATTAGGCTCGGCCAAAAAATAGCCCATTTGAACCCGTATAAACGGGTTCAGGGCCAGTTTACCTCCCGAAGGAGACTCCGCCCTTCGGCGTTGCCTCCTTCGGGTTCCTCCCGCCCGTAGGAAGAGTTGAACCGAGCAGTCGCTCAGAAAGTATCTGGACTGCTAAGATATTTAGCCCCCCCCCCCTCCACGAGGTCGTCATGCGGCACAAGGCCTATTTAACGTGGGCATTCCCGAGCCATTAGGCTCGGCCAAAAAATAGCCCATTTGAACCCGCATAAACGGGTTCAGGGCCGATTTACCTCCCCGAAGGAGACTCCGCCCTTCGGCGTAGCCTCCTTCAGGTTCCTCTGTCCGGAGACAGAGAGTTGAACCGAGCAGTCGCTCAGAAAGTATCTGGACTGCTAAGATATTTAGCCACCCCCCCAAAAGGGCGTCATGCGGCACAAGGCCTTTTTAACGTGGGCATTCCCGAGCCATTAGGATCGGCCAAAATATTGCCCAGAACCCGTATAAACGGGTTCAGGGCCAGCGACCTCCCGAAGGAGACTTCGCACTTCGGCGTTGCCTCCTTCGGGTTCCTCCCGCCCGTAGGAAGAGAGAGCTGAACCGAGCAGTCGCTCAGAAAGTATCTGGACTGCTAAGATATTTAGCCCCCCTCCACGAGGGCGTCATGCGGCACAAGGCCTTTTTAACGTGGGCATTCCCAGCCATTAGGCTCGGCCAAAAAATAGCCCATTTGAACCCGCATAAACGGGTTCAGGGCCGTTTACCTCCCCGAAGGAGACTCCGCCCTTCGGCGTAGCCTCCTTCGTCTTCCTCTGTCCGGAGACAGAGAGTTGAACCGAGCAGTCGCTCAGAAAGTATCTGGACTGCTAAGATATTTAGCCCCCCCCTCCCCCCCACGAGGGCCTCATGCGGCACAAGGCCTTTTAACGTGGGCATTCCCGAGCCATTAGGCTCGGCCAAAAAATAGCCCATTTGAACCCGTATAAACGGGTTCAGGGCCAATTTTACCTCCCGAAGGAGACTTCGCCCTTCGCCGTTGCCTCCTTCGGGTTCCTCCCGCCCGTAGGAAGAGAGTTGAACCGAGCAGTCGCTCAGAAAGTATCTGGACTGCTAAGATATTTAGCCCCCCCCCACGAGGGCGTCATGCGGCACAAGGCCTTTTAACGTGGGCATTCCCCAGCCATTAGGCTCGGCCAAAAAATAGTTTTCCATTTGAACCCCGTATAAACGGGTTCAGGGCCGAGTTTACCTCCCCGAAGGAGACTTCGCCCTTCGGCGTAGCCTCCTTCGGGTTCCTCTCAAATCCGGAGACAGAGAGTTGAACCGAGCAGTCGCTCAGAAAGTATCTGGACTGCTAAGATATTTAGCCACCCCCCCCCCCCACGAGGGCCTCATGCGGCACAAGGCCTTTTTTAACGTGGGCATTCCCGAGCCATTAGGCTCGGCCAAAAATAGCCCATTTGAACCCGTATAAACGGGTTCAGGGCCAGTTTACCTCCCCGAAGGAGACTCCGCCCTTCGGCGTAGCCTCCTTCGGGTTCCTCCCCCTGTAGGAAGAGAGTTGAACCGAGCAGTCGCTCAGAAAGTATCTGGACTGCTAAGATATTTAGCCACCCACCCACGAGGGGTGTCATGCGGCACAAGGCCTTTTTTTTAATGTGGGCATTCCCGAGCCATTAGGCTCAGCCAAAAAATAGCCCATTTGAACCCGTATAAACGGGTTCAGGGCCGGTTTTACCTCCCCGAATGAGACTTCGCCCTTCGGCGTAGCCTCCTTCGGGTTCCTCTCCGTCTGGAGACAGAGAGTTGAACCGATCAGTCGCTCAGAAAGTATCTGGGCTGCTAACCCTGACTCTCTCCCCAGAGCTGACTTATATAAGAGGGACCAGTCCATTACTAGTTAGAAGTTGGGTGCGCCCCAACAATATTTAGACAACGTCTTAAGAAAAGTGGAAACAAAAAGGACGCCTATATTTAGAATTAAAGAGAAATTTAAATTTTCAAGAAACATAATGAGGCAAGAGGGCTTGGAGAATTTGTCACTCACAGGACATATTGAGGGCAAGAAAGATAGAGGGAAACATTAACCTACCTAACAAGCTTGTGTAAATAGATATTAGAACAAGGCGTGGAAGGGATTTAGGATAGTGGGTTTTCAACATCGCCTCGCGCATTAATTAATCCCAACTGTCTATGAAGATTCCTGACATTATCTATAGGCTTATACTTATGTTATGTATGTATAGCCAGATGCTACTTGTTGTTATAAATCCATTTTCTTTATCCAAGTAAAATAATTATAAATATCTTTCTAAATACAGCCTAATTAGCTATAATAATAAAATACTTTTATTCAAATTTAATTATCCTACATGCATCGTTTGTTGGGCATTCTTAATGAGTCACTGTTCTTGTAGTTTATTAGCCATGGGAACGTTAGCGAACAAAATCTGTAAATTTGTAACAGGTCACTTTAACGTGATTATATAATTGTGTTGCTACATCTGCCGTGTTAAATCGCAAATGAAGAAAAATATTTCCCAAGACTACATGCCTCCTACTCGAACTTTCAGTGGCTTATATTACCTGTCAACGCCAAACTGGTATTCTTTTCCCATTAACAATAAAGAAATGCCAATTGATGTTATACATGTACAGAACACGATGAAGCTTGCCTTATAAAAACGCCATGAAACCATCTGATTGGAATGCAAAGCCCGTCATTAAATATGGCGTCCGATTTACAAATGAAATCAGTTTCAGTGTTGATGACGTGTTTCATTTCATCGCTTTGTCACAAATGACGTTAACACAATAACGGAACACGGCTGTTGATATTATACCAGTAAAAGAAATAAAATGATAAAACGGGGGCAACATTTTTTAAACGGAATATTAAAAAGAATAGAATAAATATCTTTCAAACCTTTAGTCATTATATGTGGCCAGTCGTATAGATTCAAAGGTGCACATTTCGGGTGTAGTCAGTTTTATAGACTCAAATATGAATATATTATATTCAGCTAGTTTAATAGATTCAAACCTGCATATTTCGAGTGTGTCTCGTCATAGAGATAGAAAAAAAGAAAAGGAAATACTTAGAAAGAAAAAAAATGTAGAAAAGAAGAAAAGGAAAGACGTCGATAATTATTGTCTTAATAAAAACCTAAGTTTTTTTTTTTAGGTAAATTTTAAACTCTTTCTCTTGTCTCAGAGCACTTATTAACAAGAAAATAGGCCCCATTCAAATTATTCGATATTTAATTTAACAGCAACATAGTAATAAACAGAATGCAACACACCTTAATACTAAGAAATTTTAATACGACAGATTATTATTACACAAACAGTGACTTGTATTATTACAATTAAAACTTTATTTAAAAATACCAATGATGTAATTAAAAACGAACAGATATGATTCACCATAATTTGATATTTATATTTTTATATCCGCATCATACAAATGGCGAATGATAATTTCCGGTGACACAACAATATGTTATCACTATATCAATGTACATTTTTTTTAATTCACTGTGTCATCACAACAACGAAAGAATTTTGAACTCTGACATAATTTCTAAACAAGAACGTTTACTTAAAATATAGCGGCTATAAATCGAATATTATGTTGCTATAAAAAAAGCCAGTCTACAGAAAGATGCTGAGGATACCGTGGACCGAACATGAGAGTAACGGCGAAGTTTTGGAGAATATGAAAACAAAAAGGAAACTAATACTAACTTAACATCAGGAAGAGACAGTTGAGATTTCTGGGACATACAATGAAGGAGGGGGGCTCGGAAAATCTGATACTCACGGGACAGGGCAAGATGAACAGAGGAAAACAACGCATAACATACTTAGTGAGTTTGAGTAAATAGATGATGGAACAGGTCTTAGGAGAAATAACAGAAAGAAAAAGGTTATTAAGAGCTACAAAGGACAGGAAGTTGTGGAGAGCCATGATCACCTACCTTCTGAGGTGACACGGGACATAAAGAAAAAGAATCTCATGTTAGTACGCAATCTTCCGTACCCGGAGATAGCGAACACATGATATGACCAGTTAAAGGCTAATTTAATGCGCGGAAATGAAATAAAAATTACGAGCGATATAAAATAAAATATTACTTAAATGAATGCCAAGGAAAAATAGAAATATATAACTTTATTCTTTTTATAATTATTTCCTGAAATCAGTAATAGTATTTCTTGGTGCGTTGGTTTCTTCACAAACGCCAATGATATATCATTATGAATTTCACTTGTACAAAGATACACAACTTTTTTAAATACTAGATTTTTTTTTTTTTTTTTGCAACACGCTGACGCATGTTGAAATTCTCACAATATTTTGTATTGTTGAAATTATCGCTAATATTTTTTGCAGAGATTTACAAACTCTACGTTTCGTTCAATTTCGCAAACCAATCGATGAAATTTAAATAATCGGAGTTGTGTGAAAAAATACTTTGACAAAAACCTTTTTTTTCCCTTTTTAACAGCGAATAATAAATTCTTAAGATTTCTTACTCTTGAGCATTTAACATAGAACTGGCCATGCAAAAATATTTCTTTCTGGAGCTAAATTCCAACTTTTTGAAGCGTTTGGCCTTGTGGTCTATTTATAATTCTCGCAAACGAAAGGCGAACTGGACTCATATATATATATATATATATATATATATATATAATTAAAGAAAAGATATGCAAAAAACAATATTGAATTTTTTTAAATAAGTATTTGTTATTTCAATCAGTAAATTGTGTTTTTAAATAGTAGGAATATTTTGTATGTTAAATAATAAAACTTATAATTTTTCCAAAATGAATGAAAATTTATTGTACTAAGCTACGCACGCTAGTGAAACCAAATGTATTTTGTATCCCCCCCCCCTTATCTGTTTGCACTTCTCCCCAAAATTTTGTTTTCGATCGATCAATGTACGGCTATTTTAGAGGGTGTGACGGACAGACGGACAGACTAACGGAAGTCACAGAATTTTATATATAAAAGCAACTAATTTATAACCACCTGTACTCAAATTGGTATATATTCAAAACAAATCTGCTATAGATGTCAGTGTTCCTTAAGCAACTCAGGAAAATGATAAAAAGAAAAGAAAAGTGTAAAATGAAACAAAAACGTTACTAAATATGTTATTTTATTCTGTAATCAAGAATTCTAATAACTCTACTAGTTTATCTATATTGGTATGTCTTTCTTTTCAATTTATTAGTCATGATACACGCGTAGGCGATCAAGACTCTTTCGAGTCATGATTGACTAGGCAGAATATTTTCCCGCAGTAGGTTGCCATTTCTTTCTGCGGTAGACCGGTTGCCACCCAAGTGTGTCCTGCGATTTACCTGATATTCCCAAGCGGGAAACCTATCTAGAAACCGGTCTGTCCTATTTATCCATAGTTGAGGAGAGAAGATTTGGATTCATACCTTCCCAAGTATATCACCACGTAAGTGAACGTAATGAATTCAATCGGAATTCGAACTCTGTTCTCTGATTCCTCAATCCAACCAACAATTCGTTAAGCATAAAAAATGTAAGCAACCATTTAAGAAATTTTAGTACTAAAAATTAAGTGTATTATTTTGTCTTGAAATTCTATCTAAAAAAAATTAAGCAGAAATTGAAACAACTTTGATAATAATCCGTGCGAAAAGTTAAGCAACCTGTGTGGTGGTTATAATGTTAAGGTGTGTTCTTATTGTCTCGACTTATTTTCCTCCTTTCATTGTAATCCTCTATATTGTAATCCACTATATTGGCTATCACAATATTATACACCTCTATATTGGCTATCACAATATTATACACCTCTATATTGGCTATCACAGTATTGTACTTCTCTATATTGGCCATCACAATATTATACACCTCTATATTGGCTATCACAGTATTGTACGCATCTATATTGGCTATCACAATATTATACACCTCCATATTGACTATCACAATATCATACACATCTATATTGGCTATCACAATATTATCCACCTCTATATTGGCTATCACAATATTATCCACCTCTATATTGGCTATCACAATATTATACTCCTCCATATTGGCCATCACAATATTGCGCTCCTCTTTATTGTCTATCACAATATTATACTCTTCTATATTGGCTATCACAATATTGTATTCTTCTATATTTGGCTATAACTCTATTGTACTTCTCTATATTGGCTATCACAATATTTATTAATGCCACATACTTTGTAAATTTCGCAACGTTTAGCGCAGAACCATTATGTAAATTGTAAACATTTTCGCTGGCCTGGTTACAAAAAATTGCAGATTGAAACCGCAACATAATTTAACGATAATAAAATGCTCAAGTGAATGAATAACAAGAAATTTAACATAAAAGATTATTACACGTTTGTGACTCAAGCAATAACTTTGGGGCTTACGGCCATATCCCGTTAAAACACCGGTTCTCGTCCGATCACAGAAGTTAAGCAACAACGAATGTGGTCAGTAACTAGATAGGTAACCTCTTGGGAATATCAGAAGCTGTATGCTTGGATGTGCCGGTGGTGTAATGGATAACGGCCCAGCGTAAGAAATCAGAGAACCGATTTCGGATTCCACTCAGGTTTGTTATATTCATTTACGCACAAATACCCTTGGGAAAAGTATCAATATCTTCCCCCAGCTATGGATTAAATGGTAAGACTTGGATCTTAAAATCCTTATTATCTCCAAAACACTGTTATTACAATATTCACTAGCAAAAACAAAAGAAGAATTATTTTTACAATCCCAAAATATGTTTCAGCTTTAAATACCCTACAAAAGGTTTGATAAACCGTAAAAAAATCGATGAAACAATAACTTATATTATCAGAACTGTCATCGATCAAGATTGGCAGATCGGCTTATTTTTGAAAGCCCAGCGATACTAAATTTTAATTTTAGCTTCTGACGACTTTTAAGAGTATTTAAAAAAATAAGTTGCGTTACTAATGAGAAGAAAGGTGTTTACAAATGCAACCCTGGCTGATATCGGCAGCTGTTCTGTATGGTCTGAAAGTCTTGTCACCCCTACCGAAAAAGTAGTGAGAACAATAGAAGAACAAGTAATACATTAATACAAAGCACAGTTTACTCACTTTCATTAACGCTGTCACACATCGAGAAGCTCTGTATGAAGACCATCATTTTCGTGGCACAAACTGATGCGGCGCAATGTCCTGTGTGATATTTTATGAAGCTGTGCATTGTTGATTGTTGCAAAGGCTCTCCGAACGACATCCTTCAACTGATGGGTATTCAGCGGGTATCGTTCATGTGAAACTCTCTCTTTGATAATACCCCACATAGCGTCGAAATAGAAAATTATATTATATAGGGGTGACAAAACTTTCGGACCACCGTGGATATAAAGTGGGTGATCAATTTTGTATTAGTACCGATTTATAGACTAAACCCCACTTTTGACCATAACAGATTCCATATATTACTCTACTTTAAAAGGGTTACGGCCACACCACATTGAATCACCGGTTCCGGTACGAGCACCGAAGTTAAGCAACGTCGAGCGGGGTCAGTATCTAGATGGATGACCAGTTGGGAATACAAGGGCTTTACACTTGGATATGTGGGTGGTTTAATGGATAATGGCCCGGAATTGTTAATCGGAGAGCTGAGTTCCAATTCCAATTGGGTTCATTATATTCACTTACGTGCAAATGACCTTGGGATAGGTATAAATCTACCTCTTCTTCCCTAAGCTATGGGTTAAATAGTAAGACTTTTATCACTAAATCATTAGTATCTCAAAAAATAATTAAAAATTGCGTACAAAATATTTAGATTTCGGCATTAAATAACTTATAAAGGTGTTGATATACCGTTAAACAAAAATAACTAACCAAATCTACTTTTAAAAAACATACCTGTAGGCAGGTAGGCTATTTTTGAAAACCCAAAGCAACTAAATATTTAATTTGGTTACTGTCTTCTTTTGGGGATTTTTGTATGTGCCTTGTCCCTTTAGGACGTAAGCGACCATGGCACTCCACAATTTCATGGCCTTTGTAGCTCTTAATAAAATTTATCTTTTTGTTATCTCTTCTAAACCTTGTTCCGCCATTTATTTACTCAAACTCGTTAGGGAGGTTATACGTTGTTTTCCCCTCCCCCTCTTGACGTCAGTCTGTCTTGTGAGTATTAATTTTTCTATGGAGTCTTTCTTCATTATGAGATACGTTTTAAAATTAAGTTGGACTAACTTGAGTGACTAATGTCAAGAAAGTAAAGTTTTAGCCGCGAAAGATTTTCAAAATGGAGCCGAATTAAGTACTTTTGGCACGTTGGAATAATGAAATACGCCTCCCAAAAGCTAAATATTAAGGAAACAGGAAATTTTCGTTGGAAACAAAGAAAATATTACTAAACTGTTATGTAATATCAGTCCTCTTCTATGGCAGTTAATGTTGGAAAAGACTCGGGAGAACCGAAATGTGGTTCGACAGAAGGATTTTGAGAATGTCATCAACTGAATGTGTGAGTAAAGACAACGTCTTATGAAAAGTGGAAACAAAAAGGACGCCTATACTTAGTATTAAAGAGAAATTGAAATTTTCAAGAAACATAATAAGGCAAGAGGGCTTGGAGAATTTGTAACTCACAAGACATATTGAGAGCAAGAAGGACAGAGGGAAATGCTAACCTACCTAACTAACTTGTGTAAATGGATGTTAGAACAAGGCCTAGGAGGTATAGTAAAGGAACAAATATTGCTTAGACATATAATGAGAACAGGGGGTCTGGAGAATCTGACACTCACAGGACATATTGAAAGTAGGAGGGATAGATGGAAGTAGCAGGTAACTTACGAAATGCGCTTCTGTAAATGAATTGCAGAGCAGGGATTGAAAAAGATAGCGAAAAGAGAAGCCTTTGCTAAGAGCTACAAAGGATGAGAAGTTGTGGAGAACAATGATCACTCACGTCACATAGGAGAGGAACCGGAATCTGACAATACTGATGCCGTTCCTGAATACGACGAATGACATAAACTAGATATGATGATTCATATAGCGGTACTTATTGTTATTTATGTTCATTATCTTGAAAAGATCATTTTCATTCACGCAACAACACGCTGTCACCATAACAGTATCCATTTTCTATATCGATACTTCATAGAGCAACAAAATCTAAGCAAAGTATTAAGGAAAAGAAAAATTTTGTTAGAAACACAAAAAACTATTAGGTCTGCCTTCTCTGCCTGCTATCAGCATGGCTGATGCTAACCTCCAAGAAAGTGACTCGTTGCGCCTACTCAGGCTAACATTCTCGGCTGTCATGAAGTGGAAAGATTATATTGAATCCATTGCTAAGTCAGCTGCTAGGGAAATGATTCACTATGTCTTGCGAGACAATTTTTCTCTCTACAATCTATCCTACATATCTATAAGTCTACCATTCGTCCATGCTTAGAACATTGCTACCACATGGCCCAGTGATCTTGCTATTCATCTAGAGCTCCTTTATAAAATCCAAAGAAGAATCAGCAATATTATTAGTCCTGATCTGGCAGCTCGGTTTCAGTTACTTTCCCACCATCTCCTTTTACCTTTTCTATAAATACTTTCGTGGTAATTGTTCGGGTGAACTCTTCGTTATGGTACCTAGATTTTTTGGTTTAAGCACATTACCAGACTGGAGAGACGGTGCGGTAAAGTAATGGATAGCGGCTCGGATTGAAGAATCGAAGAGACGAGTTCGAATTCCAGTCGAATCCATTATATTCACTTACGTGCTAATACGCTTGAGAAAGGTATGGATCCCCCAGCTATGAGTAAATAGCAGGACAGACTGGCTTCTATAGCCTTTGCAGAAAGAAATGACAACTTACTGCAGGAAAAATCTGCCTCGTCAGTCATGTATCGAAAGATACATGGTCGCGTAAGCGTGTGTCACGCATGGCACATAACTGACTGACTAGACTGGTGTCGAGATCTCATCAATATACAGTTGAGTTGGATAGACGTAACCGTAAATTCTATGCTAATACTTTCTTTTCTCGCACTTCGCACTTCTCGCTTGTGGAACTTCCTTCCGAAGACAAACTTCCAAGCCAACTTTAATCTTCAAAAATTTAAATACAATGTCATTCGCCATCTACTATCTTCCTGGTTACTCTTTTTGTTCTCGTTCATTAGTAATGTTTCTTTTTCTAATTCTTCCACACCCAGTTCCCTCCTCCATCTTGTGTCTTAATGGCTCTACTCTTTTACATGGGGTGAACTCGATAAAAAAGTCATATCAACCCTCCTGTATGGCAATAAATGTTGTACAATTTCTTTATAGATGAATCGGGGACTTGAGGTAACAGAGATGTGGTTCTACAGAAAGATACTGAGGATACCCTGCCTGTGAGAAACGGGGAGGGTTTAAGGAAAAAGAAACTTATACTTAGAATCAGAAAGACATAGCTGAAATTTATGAGACACATAATAAGGAGAGACGGCTTGGAGAATTTGACTCTCACAAGAAGGAAAGTGGGTGGGCAGAGGAAAAATCGAGTAACCAATCTAAAGAGCGTGTGTAAATGGATGGTGGAATAGTGACTGAGGTATTAAATGGACACACATTGCTTAGATTTACAAAAGATAGGAAGTTGTGAAGAGCCACAATCCTTCATGTCCTAAAATATAAAGTACCGATAAAGTACGTCACAAAAATCTGTTGGAACTGCTCATCAACCTTGATATATTTGGAAAGGATATTAGAATAATCAAGAACCTATACTGGCAGCAAACAAATAAAAAGGGGTGTAAGACAAGGATGCGTCTTCTCACCAAACTTATTCACCCTATACAATGAGGTGATTCTGAGAGAACTAGGACTCCTGCCAGGATTCATTATTATCGGCCTCAATCTTAACAATATAAGAGATGCAGATGACACAGTGTTGATGGATCAGTTTAAATTGAATATTACTCTGATTAAAATTCTGAAAAAATTAGAAGGCTTGTTTTTGGAAGTAGGAAGTAGAAAACTGGTTTGTAATTTTTTTTTTTTAGAGTTCTAATTTTCGGCCTACAAAAAAGGCGGTACTGATATGACTCACAGTTACGAAGAACTAAAATTCCAGTTACTTTTGACCTTTATTTGTTAGAAATTAGTCACTGTATTGCTTGACTACTTGCTACTATATATATATATATATATATATATATATATATATATATATAGAGAGAGAGAGAGAGAGAGAGACAGAGACAGAGACATAGATAGATAGATAGATAGATAGATAGATAGATAGATAGATAGATAGATAACTAATTTTTTATCTGGAAATCTGTGCGGTTAATGTTCACTACAAAATTATGTGCACTACTAAAGAGGAAAGTATTTGTTGTTTAAAATGAATACTCTTACATAAATATGTAGGTATGTGTGTGTGCGTGAAGCGTTGAGCAAACCACTTAAAGCAGTTTGACAGTCTGCGTGTCTTGTTTTGATATTTACAGATTACGACGACGACGACCATGACGATGATGATGGCTCTGTCTAAGAAAAAAAAAAGGTGATAATTTTGTTCAGTAATTGAATAAGAGCTGCTTCAGTTTGTTTCATTTCTTTAATCTCCAGTTAAACGGTCGAGATTATACGGAAGCAAACAATGAAAGCAAATAATGAGAAGAACAGAAAAAAATCCAATAAAAAAAAATCAAAGAAAAGAATTTACAAAAAGAAAAACGGAAAAACAAACATTTGATTCTGAGGTTGAAAATCTGGAATCGTCTTTGCAATTCTAAAGCAAATTAAATTAAGTGTGTCTTTATTTATTTTTTTTTCTACTGGTCTGCCTCAAAGGTAAGTCATGCGCATGCGCATGTACCGACTTGCATATTGACTTAAATAGTAGAATGCAAATTTAGTAAGCGCATGCGTGTTTGCTCGCCTTGGAAACTTGTATATCCAGAGTATCCCAAAAGTAAAGAAAAGATTTCAAACGCCTAAATATATTTATACCTGCTAATTATTTTAATTTCTTTATTTACCCAAATTAAATTAACAAAACGTAGTTAAATTGTACTTATATTGAAAAGCAATAAATTCTATATGGCAGCCATTTTTCAAAATTGTAAAAGTCTTTTTTTAGGTGTCTTCGACATTGAAATAGATGAGAAACAAAGAAAAACGCAGACAAAAAGAAAGCGTGACTGAGTGAATGAAAAAAGTGGAGAAATAGAATTTGTGTGCGCACGCGCGTGTGAATCTGAGCGCATACATAATTGAGTTAATACGAAAGTTTCCGAATATTGCGTCCACTTAACGAATTTTTATTACAGCCATTCCTCAGTATCTGCCATAGATTGGTTCCAGACCTCTCGCGTATATCAAATTCCGCGGACGCTCAACATTTTATATAAGAGTGGTTTATTATTTACAGATAACTTACACAACTACCTCCGTATACTCTAAATATTCTTAAGATTATTTATAATACGAACGTACTATAAATGCTACATAAATAACTGTTGTACTCAGTAGGTATGAACAAAAAAAGGGTGGACCTTGTCCATGTCGATTCAAGAAAGCAGGCGTGGTTGATCGTGGCCG